GCACTGAGGGAATATTCCTCCCCATCAGAGATGGCTGGTGTGGGCAAATTGGGAGCAGCTGGGGCGTGGGATGTGTGCCAAGGAGCTGGGATTAGGGGGGCTGAACCCTGCCCTTTGTGGTGTTTCACCCACAGGGAGCATTGTGGCCATAACCGTGACGGTCATCGTGGTGGTGGTGCTGGTGTTCGGGACAGCCGCGTACCTCAAGATCAGGTAAGGCTGGCTTTGGGGTGGTCCCCCGTCCCTGCAGCCCCTCTCACCATCCAAGTCCCAGGAAGATGCTGTCCCCAAGTGTGGCAGGGCAATGTGCAGCCTCTGGTGCCAGCAGGGCTCGGTTTCTCACCACTCCTGTACTGGAAAGCAGAGTTCCAATCCCTCATTTTACAATAGCCTTGCTCAAATGCCAGAGATGCTGCTCAGCATAGTCATAACCAGTAATTATCCCCTGGGAAAGCTGCTGCTGTGGGTCTCGCTGTCACTGGGACAATAAACAGCAGCAGAGCCCAGTGCTGAGCATCCCTAATGAGGCTTTGCTGACAGCTGAGAGGAGCAAAGGTCTTGTTTTAATTCCCTGCCCTGTCCAGGCTCATTCAACGGGGGCAACATTCAACCTGGGCTTCTCTTCACTTCTCCTGGTCCTTCCTCTTAAAACATTCCAAAGCTTGATATAGGGAGCCCTTGCATTAATACTTCTTCATGTCATGGCAAAATAACAAATAAATCCTCAAAGTAACCGGTTTGCTTTCCCTGGCAGGCACTCCTCCTATGGAAGACTTTTGGATGATCATGACTACGGCTCCTGGGGCAACTACAACAATCCTCTCTATGACGATTCCTAGCAGGGATGAAGAAAAAACCCCAAAAACCCTTAATTTATAAGCGCTTCTGCAGCAGAGCATCCGCTGTCGAGGAGATGCCGGGCACGGAGCCCCTGCCTCAGGCAGGATTACCACGGGTCTGGTGGATGACAGGAACTGGAGGGCGGGTGTGCAGTGCTGACAATAAACGTGAATTTTGGCCTTTGAGCAGGAAACCAGGTCCTGGGGCAGGTCAGCCACTTGGTGTAGACAAGGGAACCCAAATTCCCCAGGGAGAAGGGCTGGGAAGGTCAAGGGAGAGGATGGAGGTTCAGCCAGTGCTGTGGCATCCTTTGAAATGCTGCTGCTCTGCGATTTGGGGGGGAGTGGGGGGCTGCTGAGCCAGAGCCAGCAGTGTGCCGGGGTCTCCTGTGCTTTCACATGTCCTTTTCCCTAAAATCACTTCCCCGTGTTGTCCTGCTATGAAATCCTTCCCCTTGTCTCACCAGGAACCATGGACAGTTAGGGGGCTGCTCAGTCACTGCTCCCTTTGTTTTCCTGCAGGTGCTTCCGTGCAGAAGCTCCTAATTTAATTTTTTCCATTTAATTGTGGGGATTTTGGTCCCAAAAAGCAGCCCACGAGAAGATGCACTGACCATCCATTTCACATATGTGGCTGCTTGTTCCACAGCTTTGTTTCCATTCCTTGAAAAACTTGGCTGCTAAAATACAGCGGAGTGGTCTTTTAATCCCAAATTTGTGTTCAGCTTTTAGTGTGGGAAGGCTGGGGGTGGCTGATGGCAGAGCTGGTTTGGGAAGAGGATGCTCAGCCGCTTCTCCCTCTGGCTAAATTCCCTGGCAGAGGAAAGCAAAGCCCTCGGTCCGTGTGACCTTAATAAATAAACCAGCACTAAATGGCGCTGCAAAATATTGGGGTGTCCTAGTACAGGTGGTGCAGGCTTGGGAACAGGCTCTGCTGTCACCCTGCCTCCTAAATGGAGCATCCCTGGAAACATCAAAGCTTGGGGCGTTTCCATGATTGCTTCCTGCGAGAGATGCATCATCTCCGCATTTCCATCCAGTGAGTGTAATGAACGCGGCCGGCACCACAACAGGCACCTGCACAGGTCAGGAGAAATGAGGGCAGCTCCACTCCCCAAAAGGAAGTGCAATCACCGTGCATTTTCCTTCTCCTCCTGAGCCTTTTTCAGCCTGCTCACGGCTCCATCCTTTCAACTGTGCTGTGTGTCCCTCAACCTCTTTCTAGTTCAAACTTGGTGAAAACAAGAAAACAAACCTGTGAACGGTTGTTTCACCTCCCAGCCACAGCCAGCCTGGAAAACTGTTGGGGCTGGGAGCATACATAGGGAAACACAAGCTGTGAGGATGCTTAGGATGAGCAAACATTCCTTTTCACGTTTTTGGCACCCAAGAAGCAGCAAATTAGGCTACCTTGGCTAAGGAAAACCACAAACTGAGTTAAAAAACCACCACCCTTCTTCACTGGAAATAAATTGGGCGTTGTGCTGCTGCTAAACTGAGAGAATAAAGGGAGAGGACAAGCCATGACTTTCACTTAAAAGTATATAACCCCAAGGGAATAAATTCCTTTTTCATGGAGGAGGACAGAAATGGGGTGTCAGTTTTCCTGCTCAGTCCTCAAAATTACTTACTCTCTCTTGCCTACCATGCAACGAAGAAACTGCACATATTTTTGGGAATACCCCAGGGTGAAAACAGGTTCCTCACTTCCCTGGGATCAGACACCATCCCCAGTACCTTTATTTCCAGTGCAGCTGTCCAGTGACATGGATGATGTGCTTCCATCTGCAGGACTGTTTGCCAGCACAAGCCAAGGCACAAGGCAGCCTAGGGAATAACAGATGGGTTTGCCAAGTGGAAAAAACACTTTATTTTGGGAGGTCATGCCCTCAGAGGGAGGATGCCAGTGCTCCAGGCAATGGCTTCAAACACCCCTCTCACATTCCCACCCTCAGACCCTCTAGCTTATTGAGGGGTTTCTATCCCACACGAGGATAGCAGGGGAAAAGGGGAAAAAGCAACCAAGACATGCCATAAAAAGGCCATTTTTCCTTCTGCTTTCAAAAACAATAAGGTTAACTCTGCTACCAGCTTGTTTTATTTGCAAAACCAGCAAATTCCCATTTTTCTCAAAGGCTCCCACAACTCTGGCTCAATTCCACCTCCTTCCAACTCCCTTTCCTCCCCCCCCACCACCCCCCTTTGGCTCCGTTTCATCTCCGAGATATTTTATTTATATAGAAATAAAATAGTTCTCATAGCTCCGTGCGGAACATCCCATTCCCCAACCCCGCGGGCACCGGGGATGACGCGATCCCGCTCCAGGTCTCCCGCCTTGCCCTCGCTGCAGAGCTGCTTTATCACCGCTTCCAGACTCCCTCTGGCCTCCCTAATTATGCTCTTGTTTGGCTCATTTGTGAATATTCCCATCTATCATCCATGTTTGCAAGCGTCATCTCCTCAGGCTCCTGCTGGAGTTACCGGAGTGAGTAGCAATGAGCAGCTCCTGCTTGCAGCCTCCTGGCTGCTCCTTGGGCACAGGAATCGGTTCAGGTGTCAGAACCCAACCCCAGCCGGGACCACGAAGGAGCAGATCCGAGGAAACCGCCCCGTGTCCAGCACGGAGGTGCCGGCACACCCCTGGGCTGAGCTTGGATCTGCAGAGACAGATGCTCGGCTGCCCCTCTGGGGTATAAATAGCACAACACGAGGAGCCTCTCCCTCACTGCGTTCCTTCCAGCTGGAAATTTAAAACCAGATGATTTCTCTGCGAACATCAGCCCCAGCACCAGGAGAGCCACAGGAGGGAGCAGCTGAAGCCGAGGTTTAACACAGAACACCCCCACTGCCATCCCAAATAATGCTATCAGAACAAGGCAAAACCACACCAGAGGCATCAAACAAGCCCCAAACTGGGGATCCTCATTCCCCACAGCTCCTGAGCCATCCTTCCGTACCTTCCCATGGCATGGAGGGCTCAGCTGAGCCCCTCAGCCCCGCATTGTTGCCTTCCCGAGTCCCTCTCCCGAGTCCCGCATACCTCGGCAGGCCCTGGCTGTATTAATAGCTCCGTGACCTTGTGTGCAGCTGCAGTCCCTGCAGAGCCTGCTGGAACTCTACATTTTTCCCACAAAGCAGCAATAATCCCATCTGATTCTAGCCTGGATGGGTGAGCAGGGCAGGATTCCGGGTGCTTCCCAACTGCTCCCATAGTCAGCAGGCAAGCTCTGGCCAAGGCAGCTGCTGCTTCCATCCCAGGATCATCTCAGCACTCTGATCCGAGCATCCTTCCTGCTCCCATCGGCTGCATCTCCATGGACAGGGCAGCAAAGCTCCATACAGCACCTCCCATCCCATAAAAGCAGCTCCTTGCCCGTCTTTATCCCCTCCATTGTCCCTTATCCCCTGAAAATGCCATTCCTTTTCCTGCTGCATGATTTATTCCCCGGCAAAGGGAGTTAAGGGCTCCGTGCCAAGATAAACACACCAAACAGTGGTGCAGCATTCCCTCAGCATTCCCATTCCCTCGTGCAAAACTTTCCAGAGGCAACCACCAAAAACAGGAGAGCAAAATGTCAAAATCAGCTGATCCCACACCATGAATCATTTTCCTTACCAAAGTTCATTTTCCTTACCAAAGTTCAGCAGGAACTGCTCTCCCAAAGCTCAGCTCAACTAAGGATTTTCTTTCAGCCTCCTCTTGTGGTTGGAACCCAAACAAGAATATTCCAATTAATAACTGGAATAGAATTGGCTTCTCATTTAATAGTGAACCTGCTTGGTTGTGGACTTGACCAGCATGGTTTTACCATTAGCAATACACTCCAAGGCTACTTGGCCAGAGTTTTCTGGGATGACAACTCCTGCAGGCCGATGGGAGCCCCACTGGCACTTCCAGGCTTACCTGGGAGCAGGTCTCCATCCAGGAAAGCAGGTGGAGTCACCAGATGCCACCCAATGCAGCAGGGAGTCTTGCTTGTACCACAGAACAAAAATATAAAAACACAGGAGCTTGTAAAAAATTAAGCACTTATTTTCCTAACGGTGTCTCAGGCCTCACACCTCCCCACATCCAAGCATTTTTCAGCACTGAATCATGGTTTAAACTCAGCTGGGAATTTCCAGGAGTACGTGTGTGAAAGAAGAGCACATCACGCACAGTGTCATTTGTTTATTTTAATAGAGACCTTATTTTACATTTATTTATAGCAGTGAGAAAAGAGCTCCAGAAAAAGATACCCCAGTCAAGGCAAGCTACAATAGCTATCATCCAAATCCTAAATATTCCATAGAGAAAGGAACACTGTCGGATTAAGAAAAGCTCATTTTACAACAGACCAAGTTAAAAATGAGTAGATGCAATCCGAAGAGTAACTGACCCTTTTTTGTATCTTATTACTGTAAAGTATCTGCATGTGAAATTCACAGAAATCAAGAACTTTCTGCAATATTTAAGACTGCAAAACACCTCAGGCAGGACGTTACATAAAGAAGGGTGTGGTTGGGGTTTTTGTTTCTTTTAAAAGGCAGTATCTTGCCCCCCCATTCTCTCCCCCCAGCGAAGTTGTATCATTAACAAATGCCAAAAACACAAAAAATTGGTTCCTGCACTATTGGAATGCATCTGGACTGCTGTTATTTCAGTGAACATCTCAGGCCCAGCCTGATGTGAAGGATGTGCTTCACTTTGGGTACCTGAACCAGCAAAATTGAGCTATGTATGTGTCAAAAACCCTACAGCACCTCAGCCTTTGCCACGGCAACATGAGGAAGAAATGGGGAAAAAAGCTTCAGCTGACAAAGGAATGTGAGTGAAGGGACAGCAGCGAGTCAGGACGGGGGTCCAGGAGAAAAAGGGGGGCTTTGCACCTGGATCTTCTGGCTGTTCATCCCAGTAGGCAGCCAACAATTCCCTTGTTTCGAGGGAATTCTGTACACGCAGGTGACAATGCATGAAGGGAGCCAAGGATGCCACTCCTGCCCGCTGCCCCTGGGCAGTGCTAGCTGCGGGGTCCTGGCACACACATCATTCCCAGGGAACAGCATGTCCTCACACACAACCCTGTGGATGGTGGTGCCTCTCAAAGTGACCCATTTTCCCTGGCAGCTGCAGCCCCGAGAGCTGCATCTCCACCTCCCTTCCCCTTCAGCTGCCCCAAAACTCCTCCTGCTGCTGCATCAGCTGCTGGTCACATCTCCTCGTGCTGCTCATCTGCCTCCTCCCTGACGCAATAAAGGACTCCTTGAACCTGGAATACTGGAATTCTTACTGCCAAGAGCTGCTTCGTTAGCACGACAGTCTCTCCCAGGGCCCGGCGTTCCCGGTCCGGCCGAACGCCGCGCGTATCCCGGTCACTGCTCCTCCAAGGACAGCCGGCCCCGCCCGTCCTGGGCGGTGTTGTACGACTCACAGCTCTGGCACTTCATGCCCAGGAGGTGGAACTGCACCGTGGAGCGGGCACTGCAGTCGTTGCAAAGGATCTGCACGCACACAGGGAAGGGAGGGAGAGGCTGCAGCACCGGCGGTGTGTGTATAGAAACAGCAATGATGAACACCCCGAGCCTACACGTGACTTTTCCTCACCATTCCCCACCCCTTGGCCTGACTTCTGATCCAGCACACGTCCCTGGTGCCCTCTACCGCCAGTAACTCCGAGGCACAGCTCCATGAAAACCAAGCAAGGGTGCAAGGCTGAGCTCTTACCTCCACCATCATGTTCTGGTACTCCGTGGGCATGGGAGTCTGTGCCACTTCATTGTCCAGCTGGCGCCAGTACCTGGTCATGTCCAGTGCTGAGTGCATGCACAAAGGACACCTGTAGCCTCTGGCAGAAAGAGGGGGAAATGTCTAAATCAGAAGATGAAGCCAGGCCATGAAACAAGTCCATCCATAAGGACAAGTTTCATATTGCACCAGGCAAACAAACACCACGAAACAGCAAGTTCTTGCAAACAGAATTGGAAATTAAATGCCCCTTATTCCTTTAGGAGCTGTCTTTAAGTTACTTGGTAAAAAATTAGCATAATGACTTTTACCTCTCGAAGCAATATATTTAAACTAGGATAATGTCAAGAGGAAATACTTACTCCTTCAGCATTTCTTCATAACATGTTCTGAAAAAAGAAAAACGGGTCAGTAAGAACGGAATTACTGACAGGTAACACACCTGGACTGCACAAAGGGAATAAGCCACACAGGTATCCCCAAGGCAGAAATTAAAAGCATCCCTAGGCCAAGTGACAGGAGAGCTTCCCACTGTCAAAACTGACTGAGAAGGAAGACAACCCCCCTAAAGAAAATATTTCCTGGTGAAACAGCTGTCCCCACAGTGCAGGTCCCTCAGAAACCAGCTGTAAGCAGCTGATACAGACAATGCTGTTGAATAAACACCCAACACAATGCTGCACATATTTCCCTTTCTCAGGTGTCTGCTTTACCTGTGAAGAAGGTGACCACAAGGCAGAACGTGGGCTCCAACACGAGATGTGTGAATATCCTGTTTGGAGACAAATATAAGACAAAAGAGAAGAAAACTAATTCAGACACAGTCAAAAACAGGGCCACAGAGCTATCCAGGAGATGAAGAGAAGCTGCTCACCTCCAAACATATTGGGCAGTCCTGCCTGGAGACGTTTTCAATACACTTTGCAAATGGAAAAAAAGAAGAAAAAGTTATTCTGCTGTACAGTTTCTATATTGTAAAGTTCCAATAGGTAAAATTTCTTATGTCTTCAATTAGTGGCATCTGTGTTGCTGTTAGTTGAATTGAGAGAAGAAGAACCCACAGCTCTCCCTGTTCCTGTGGCCTCAGATGGGGCTGAGGCACATCCAGCTTCATGTTCAAGGTGTTGCTATCTTTTAAGATACAGAGGTAAGCAGTGTATCCTCACCTTGTGCTTCCCTTGGAGATTTGTGCTCAGGCACAAATTACACTTGGAGCAGTGGAAGAAATCCTCCTTGGGGCCAATCCTGTGGAGAGAGGTGTCAGGGCAGGGCTGGTCCCTGTGGAGCCGAGCCCCTCCCACCCGCACACACCTGCAGATGCCGCACTCCTCGCAGTGGTATTGCTTCTTGTCACGGTCAAACAGGTGGCAGATGTCACAGTAGTACTCCCCAAAGAGGTTGCCACAGCCCTCGCAGCGCTGCTGGACCTGAGGGGACAGGAACATCCTGGGTGCTGCATCCAGTTCCAGGCTCCAAGAAGGGTGTGGAGCTCCTAGAGCAAGGCCTGAGAGCTGGGAAGTTACCGACAGACTGGAGCATCTCTCTTAGGAGGACAGGCTGAGGGAGCTGGGCCTGTTCAGCCTTGATAAGGGATAGCTGAGGGGATCTAATCCATGTCTGGAGGGACGTGGAAGGCGCCAAGAGGGTGGAATCAGCCTTTGCTCTGTGGTACCCAGAAACAGGCCAAGAGGCAATGGGCAGAAGCTTACACACAGGCAGTTCCAGCCGAACAAGAGGAAAAGCTTCCTTCCTGTGCTCTGCAACAGGCTGACCAGGGAAGCTGTAGAGTCTCCCTCACTGGAGATATTCCAGAACCACCTGGACACAACCCTGTGCCATATGCCCTGTGATCACAGCATATCCTGAGTTGGAAAGGGACCCACGAGGTTCATTATATCCAACACTTAGCCCTGCACAGGACAGCTCCAAGCATCCCACCAGGAGCCAGAGAGCACTGTCCAAATGCCTCTTGCCCTCCGCCAGGATTCCGGCCGTGCCATTTCCTGGGAAGCCTGCTCCAGTGCCTCACAATAGCAGCAGGGAGGTGGATGCGGATGACCCAGCATTCCAGGGAGCGATCCCTCCCGAACCGAGCCCTGCCGTGACCCCGCTCCCGGACCCACCTTCTGCAGGAGGCGGCAGCGGATGCACTGCACCTCGGACACCCGGAACCGGTCCAGCTGGTGCTGCTCGGCGGCGTCGTGGCACAGCCGGCACGGGTACAGCTTCCCGCAGCACGGTGCCTGGGAAAGGAAGGACACGGCTTGGATCGGGGTAAGGATCGGCCACCACCGCAGCCACGGCACAGCCAGACCCCCGCTCACCCACCCGCAGCCGGCAGCCCCGCCGGTAGTGCTCGCATCCCTGCTTGCATCCCGGCTCGCATCCCTGCTTGCATCCCGGCTCGCATCCCTGCTCGCTCCCCTCCGACCCCCCGGCCGTGGCCATGGCCGCCGCCTGGCCCCGCTCCTCCCTTTCCGTTTCCTCACAGCTGGTTCCGGAGGATTTGGAGTTTTGGAAATATATTTCGCGGTTCGCTTCTCACTGAAGCCTGTGTAGAGCTGGAGGGGAGCTCTGGAGATCACCCAGTCCAACCTCCCTGCCAAGGCAGGGTCAGCCAGGGCAGGTGACACAGCACCACGTCCAGGTGGGCTGGGAATGTCTCCAGAGAGAGAGACTCCACGACGAATCACAGAATATACCGAGTGGGAAGGGATCCCTGAAGGATCATCGACTCCAGCTCCAGGCCCTGCACAGGACACCGCACCAATCCCACCAGGTGCCTGAGAGCCTTGTCCAAATGCCCCTTGAGCTCTGTCAAGCTTGGTGCTGTGACCACTGCCTGGGGGAGCCTGTGCCAGTGCTCTGCCACCTCCACGGAAAGGAGTTCTGGAGGAAGCAGAGGGGAGACCTCACCACTGGACACAATCTCCTCCCGAGGGGAAGTGGAGGGGCAGCACCGGTCTCAGCTCTGGTGACAGTGACAGGACACGAGGGAACAACTGAAGCTGTGCCAGGGAGGGTTAGGTTGGATATTAGGAAAAGGTTCTTCACCCAGAGGGTGGCCGGGCACTGACCAAGCTCCCCAGGGCACTGGTCACAGCAGCAATCTTAGCAGAGCTCAAGGAGTGTTTGGACAAAGCTCTCAGGCACGAGATGGGATTCCTAAAGTGTCCTGTGCAGGGCCAGGGGTTGAACTCAATGATCCCCTGGGTCCCTTGCAACTGAGCAGATTCTGTGATTCTTCCTCATGTTGAGGTGGAACTCTTTGTGTTTTAGTTTCTGGCCATTGCTCCTTGTCCTGTTGCTGGGCACACCAAAAATCTGGCACCCACCTTGGAGATACTTGTATGGATTGATGAGATTCCTGCTGTCTTCTCTTCTCAAGATTGAGCAGGCCCAGGTCACACAGTCTCCCCTCCTGAGGAAGATGATGCAGACCCCTCATCTTCTTCGGCCTCCACTGGACCCTCTCCAGTAGCTCCTTATCTTTCTTGACCTGTAGAGCCCAGAACTGAACACAGCACTCCAGATGTGGCCTCACTAGGGCCAAGTGGAAGATCACCTCCCTGGACCTGCTGGCCACACTCTTCCCCATGCAAAACCTTCCCCTTGAACCTTTCTTTCTCTCCCCCACACACCCAACTTTCTCCAAAAAACCTCCACTCTTCCCTCTCCAAACCTCTTTTTCCCCCCTGCATTTACCATGACTACCTGACTGACTGCTGTGGCCAAGTGGAGCATCCACTATGGGGGACAGTCAAGCCTGGAACTGGAAGATGTTTTTATTTACAAATGAAATGTACATGTCAAGAGACAGCATAGAGACAAATCCCTAAATACAATGACTTCAGACCATATTCTGCCATGATCCATCAATAGGAAAGGCTGTATTTTGTGGAAAAATAAGTTCCAAAGTCAATGACACCATAGGAGTTGTGACAGGTGATGGAAAACAGTTGTGAGCAACACAGGGAACAGCCCCAAACTGACCACAGACAAACGAAGGGCAAATAAGAAAAAACTGTTTCCACACAGTCGAGTTTTACTGTCCCATTCTCCAAAGGGATCTAAAGGAATGATGACTTGACTTACTGAGACATTCCACTTGTCACCTGCATCACAGTTCACTATTCCACAGAGATATTCCTTCCTTCACCCCCAACAAAAGCCAGACAACATACCCAGGTAAACACCCCAAAGACAACTGCCCAGACATGGGGTCAAAAATGTGAAGGGAAAAGGAACCACAAACAAAGCGACAAGTGCATTAGCAAGGGTTTCAAAAGAACAGCTGCAGATTTGCACATTTAAATATTGCATTTCTTGCACAAACATCTTCTTCACTGTCAAGGCAAAGGTGCTTTTCAATCCAGATCAGGCAGCCGACCAAATTACGAGAATTTTGGCAGCTGCTTTCGTCACTATCCATTGAAAAAAAAACCTCTCACGCGGGCAGCAGCTGAACAAAAGAAAGCCCAGCTTCCTTCAAAATCGTCCAATCCAACTCCTGCCCTTGTCACACACCAATGAGCACTACTCCTCTCAGACAAGACCTGGCCCTAAGCCAGAAAAGTCAACATTCCAGGGGCTTTTTGCATGCAAGAAATCCAGCAGCAATGGTAGTGCAAGCTCCGTCCTCGGCCTGGACCCGAGCCACTTCCATGGCAGTCTGCTGCACCAACAGGAGTAAGGGATCCTCCTCTCCCCTGCAGACAGACCTGGCAGCTTTAGCCCCTGGAAACTCAGATGGATTGTTCCCACTGCTCAGTCACCTGCATCAAGAGGAGAAAAGGAGAATGACTCTGGACAGACTAACAAAACACAGAGGTGCTCCCTGGAGAAAGGCTTTATTATGTTAGACATCCTTACTTTGCTGAAGCTGTGCACTTAGACCTCTGTGTTTCACAGATGAGAAAACCTGAGTTGTTTTTTCCCCTCCTCACATGCAGGCAGCCAGCTTCCCCTCTTTTTGCTGTTCTACCAGCTTGCTCAACCCCCTAAGTTTGTGAGCTGCTTCGTTTCCAACCCCAATGCCCAGCACCCCAGGTCAGGAAAATTATTTACCAGGAACAGCAAGCTGTGTACTGCCCTCAGTAAGAAGTCTGTCATAGCTGCATGTCCTGACCAAGAAGGTGAAGTATAAAAGAATGTTCCTATTGCACTTCCCATCCCCAGTAAGTGTTCATGAAACCATCCATTCAGAAGCCCCCAGCAGGCCAGACAGCAGAAATGAAAGCCCACCTTGTACAGGCAGGTATGACCCTCTCCCCAGGATTAGTGCTCGACCCTGGGGAAGTTGGCTTCTGATGCATCTGGCATCAAGGTCCCTGACAGCTGTAAATTGGGAAAGAATGAGACAGGATCAATTCCCAAGTGTAGCATAAACAGAGAAAACAATCAGACACAGCCTTGTAAAGACACACGCAATGCAAACACCTAACTGAAAACAAATCTGTTCTTTGGTCAAATCAGGCTTCAAAAACGCTCCCCCAGTGTAAGACTTACGACCCCAATGCGAATTCTGCTCCTCTACGAACTCTGTGGGCCATGCTGTTGAGAAAGTGACAAACCAAACAAATACAGAGCAGCACAAACCACTTTATTGCCTTGATACCTGCTGTGAAGCCAGACTCGAGTTATGAAGGTCGATAGCAGCGAGGGAGGGGACTCGGGACTCTGCAAATGTTCTATTTTCCTTTTTCAGAAATCTAGGATGCCGAGCTGCAAAACACAACCAAGGCATGCCATGTTAAGGGAGTGAGAGCTGACACACTGCTTCCTGATGCTGGTTTGGTACCCAGGTTTTATTTAGAGGACTTCAAAGTTCCTACCTTCCGCTCCTCTCAGCTCGGGGAGATGACTTAGTTCTGGCAAACGCACATTTGTCTTGAGGAATTCCCATTTTTTCTTACTTGCCTGAATGGGGGGTTTCTCATTAGTAACCTGTAATCAAGGGCATATGGAACAGCTCATAAAAATATAGGAAAAAATAAAGCTATTTTCAAGCTTATAAAAAAGCAGTAACACAGCAATGTTCTGATGTAGTTGGAATTTGCATAAGAGTGAGACAAAAGACTCTGATGTGTGTGAAGGAATTCAACCAGCTCAAGTGCTATTTATACATAAGCAATGGAAAAGCAACAGCAGAATAAAAACAATCATCTAAGTGAGGCTGCTTCTGGAGAGATAAAATACAGCACTTGGAGAATGGCTGGGATTAGTTATCTGGAAAAAGGCAAATGTTCCTGCCTGGCATGGTAATAATCATGCCTAGGTAGTGAGATCAGAGGAAAACTTTCCATTTCACTTGTTTTCCTTATCAATTTTTAGTGCATTTATGACATGACTAAGTAAGGCCCTGGCTGCATTAAATCCAAACCCTCAGTTCTGCTTCAGTAGCACAGCACACACGGTCTATCTTTCCTGGCCAGGCAGGAGACCATGGATACATTCCAAATTTCACAGATACCCTATGCTGGACTGCTCCCCTCATTTAAAATTGTTTTCTGACAAAAAATTTATTTTATGTAAGAACTATTAGCAAGCGATAATGAACAAAAAATCTGCAGGAAAAAAAGGGTAACAAAACCAGTATTTCTAGTGGGGAGTTATGGTGAAAGATGGATCAGATGGAGTTCTTGAGAAGACAACACATAACTGAATTTATTTTTGTTTGGCCAAGGGGAACAGACAGACAGACGACTCACCGGTGTCAAGCTGACACTGCAACGGGCCAGTGGAGAAGGCTTGTGTGCCTTCAGCAATGGGTTCAAGTATTTTTTACTCTTTCCATCAAGTCTGGAATCAAAAATGCCCCGAAGCTGTTATTCTCTTGGGTAACACAGTGAATATAAAGCAACAGATGCAAGGTATCCCAAACCCCACGTCGTGCAAATATTCCCACATCTTCACCCTGCACCTCCCAGGACATCACAGCAATGATGGATACAAGCTCTCCTAGCTCTGCTCCCATACCTGTAATTAAGGTTCCCAGGCCCAGAACCCATCCCAAAGGTAGGAGAGAAGTTCTGATTGATGGGAGGGATAATTGTGCCCGGGTTCTTGGCATAGTCCAAGCTGCTGCTGGAATCTCTCAGGTTGGTCTGAGGGCTGAATTTAAATGGGTTGGTTGTGGTGTCGTAGAGGAAGCCCAGCTTGGATTGATCTGCTTTCTCTGCATCAGCTTTACAGGGCTTGGGCTTCATCAGCTTTCCATCTTTGGTCCTTGGTCCCATGTTGAAATCCTGCTTGGGAAGATAAACATCATCTTTCCTTACAGTCATAAGGAAAAAGCAGTTTACAGCAGTGCATGTAGGAAAAAAAAACATGTCAGAAGCCTACATGTGCATGATTCTACAAGAATCTAATGGAGATGGAATTGGTTTTGTTAGAAAATCTCTGCTTTCCATCAAACAGGAGAAAACTTGTCAGGGTTCCAGCACTCTCTGTAAATAAGTCACTTGAGACTGGAATCAGAAATGGAGGAAAACCAGCTGTATCCTGTGTCTCTTCCATAGAAATTAAATAAAAACTCATCCCAATGTCAACTCAAAGTCACTCTGAAGCTCCTTGGTACCCAGCTGAAAGGAAAATTTTTAATTTTGGAGACAGGGCTTTAAAACAGGTAAACAGCAGCATAAAGCATGTTTCCATTATTCACGACTTATGCTGCCCAAGTGATTCACCCTTCAGCTCTGTATTGCCAGGAACTGCACCCCTGTGTGGTTCACCTGCAAGGGACTGGACAAAGAGCCACCTGCACACTCCCAAGCTATTTCCTAGGAATTTAAACTGCTGACCTATTTTAAAACCAATGATTTTAAAACATGAGGAAGAAAAAAAAATACAAGTTTGGAAAACACAGATGGACCAACCTGGACGTTGATCATTTTTCTTTCTTCTAAAACATCATCTTTGTCCCTTTTAATTATTCTATATTTTTTTTGGAACTGGTGGTCTCTGGCATCTTTCTGGATCTTTTGTTTAAGCTCCTGAGTAAATCTACATTCCATATAAGGAGAAAGGAAAAAGAATATAAAAGGGCTTCTGTTAATATCATCATCAGTTGTTAAAAGCCCAGGCTCCTATAGCCTTTGAAATAGTAAAACAAACTGTGCCTTTTAACTAATGAGAAGCCAAATGTAATGTATACATTAAACTAAATAAAATCTTCAGCACACATTTTTCACAATACAGCAAAATAAAAGTGTTTGCATTTGTTGCAGATGCAGAGAGTGAATACAGTGTAAGACTGTACTACCAATATGGTGTGCCACTGATGAATTAATGTCCCAACAAGGTAAATGTGCCACTGCAACGTGTTCCCTTCCAATTGTTCTCCTGTTTCCAGGAAGGTCAAGCCAAAACAAACTAACACATTCAGCTCTGCAAACTCAGTGTGCAGTCTTCAAGCACAACTGTTTCACTTCTGTCTAACCTGAGGCTGCAGTGAGGAGGAAAGGAGCTTTTACCTTTCAGCAAAGCCGTCCTTGTTGAAGAAATCGCCCTGCAGGAGCTCGGCACAGGATGGTCTCTTGTCTGGGTCAATCTGCAAGCACTCCTGTCGAACCAATGTGAACAGGAGGAGGTAAACATACCAGGAATTAAACCAAGGCTTTGGCATGTCTGAGTGAAAGATCCCTGCAGGATATGCAGTGACCCCTTTGGCCCTGCAGTGCTGAGTGCCCCCAGCAGCCTGGACTGGAGCTCTGGTATCCTACGGCCCTCACTAAGCTGCCAACCCCAGCAGCTGCTCCCTGCATGGGGAGCTGAGAGAAAGGCACTTGAGCAGCCCTGTACTCAGCTGCACGAGGCAAAGGACAGGGAAACAGAGAAACATTCACAGGAAACAGTCAGTTAATTACCTTGGCTAAATCCAGTGCAGCAGGAGGGAGCTTGGGATAGCGTTTCTCCAGGGATTCGAGCTCCTTCACCTCAGGCAACTTCATGCCAGCAAAAAGGGGATTCTTATAGAATAACTCCTGATGTCTTGGAATTAAGTTACCTGGAATCATGCAAACAAAGCAACCACATGGAAAAATGCAGGCCAGTGAAACATTTGAGAGGCTGAAATGCTGGGTCAGCACTGCAGGAAGGGGTTGTTATCTTCCCACTCATCAAAACAAATCTGAGCCCTTCATTCCTGAGCAAGCACGAGGAGCCTGGGGGACTCTTCTTACCCAGGCACTTGGTGATATGGAAGAGCTGGTCAATGTCTGAGTCTCCAGGGAAAAGGGGCTCTCCTGTAAGCATTTCTGTTATCAGGGTGCCAGTAGCCCACACGTCCACAGGCCTGGGGAGAAAAACCACCACCCCAGCTCAGCACAGCTTCATCGATCCAAAGGCTGATGGAGCAGATGGAGCATCCCCTCCATGCTCCCCAGAGCCCTTCCCAGCCTGGCAGGCCAGACTCACCTGCCATATTTGCTGTCCCCCACCAGCAGCTCTGGGGCTCTGTACCAGCGGGTGGCCACATAGTCTGTGTAAACTTCCCCAGGAGTGGCCAAGGGCCGGGCAAATCCAAAGTCACAGAGTTTCACGACTCCTGACTGGGAAACCAGTATGTTTTCTGGCTTAATATCCCGATGGATTATCTGCACAGAGAGCAACAAGTCAGGGTAAATTCTCTGTTTCTACATAGCAAACTGACTGCTCAGCACAAAGTGTAGCTTTCTCATATTCAAGTAGGAAATCATAGGCTAACACAGAACCTCTAGTTTCAGACACATTTATTTTATGTATCTCTTTTCCTTTCCAGACAAAGCTCTATTTCTCTAAGTTCAAATATATATATAAATATATAATACTGTTCTAATA